TCTGCGCAGTATCTTTGCTGTTCCTAGAACTGCACTCTTCTGGACCAGAGATGTCTGATCTATTTCCAGGGATCTGCTGTAACCAATCTTCAAGTTTGGGGGTCGCTGCCCCAAGTGCCCCAATGACCACAGGTACCACTGATGCCTTGACCTTCCAGGTTTTCTCCAGCTCTTTTCTGACCCCCTGGTATTTCGCTAGTTTTTCACGTTCTTTTTTCCTGATGTTGCAGTCACTTGGTATTTCTAGTGTCAACGCAATGGCTTTCCTTTGATATATATATATATATTAGGGCTGCAACAACGAACGTTGGCAACGAATTTCATCATCGATTAGTTGTGTCGCGCGATTAATGCTGCCGTCATCATCACTGCCACTTGATTGAAACGGGGGAAGAAAAGAAAATACGGCAGAGCGAGCCAGCGCCGCAGGTGAGCAAAGGCTGTTTTCAAAAGGCAGAAACGTCAACTGTTCTAATGACCGATACCGCAAATGCAAGCTGCGTCTCAATTCGCAGACAGCCTGCGCTTTGTAAAGCGAAAAAAGTTGTAACATGCAACTTTTGTAAAAACAAATTAACATGGCACGGAAGCACCACTGTTATGATCCAGCACCTGAAAAGAAAACACGTTGGAGCCTTCGATGGCAGTGAAGATAGCTGATCAGCAGGTTGAGCGACCATGTTTGTTTCGTTTTAAAGTGGGGAAACGTAACGTTAGTTTCTCAGGTAGCTCATCTGATGCTTTCCTTACCGTGTTAGTAGGTTACAGACAGTGATAAGGTTGGCTACTTAGTTTACTTTTAATTTCATTTGAATTAGCTTAAGCAGCGTTTATATTTTCTTTATAAATAAATTAACTTGCAAATTATGAGGGCAAGGCTTTTAAAGTTTAAATCTTCTGGCAAAGATAAAGCAAAGAAGATCCTGCAATTTATGGAAGTAAATCAGAATAAAATCCAGCAAGATCAGTAATATGTCAATTAATTATATGCCACATTCCCATGTAAATATCTGTCTTTGGAGGATGTGTTTTTTAGCACCCCTAGTTCTCTTATTTCTATTCCAAATACAATTTATAATTTGAATCACAGGGCTATTTTTATCTCTATGGTTCAGTATTTTCTCAAGTAGGAACTTTAACTGTTATACTTTCCTGTCTTAAAAGGCAGAACTCTTCTAGTCTAAAAAAAACTCATTTGTTGAAATGGGGGGACGTATTGTTTGAACCCCTTAGGGGCTTTTAAAAAAAAAATGCCTGTCTTTTTTTGCGCTTTATGAAATAAAGTAGCCTATATTTAGTGGATGTACAGCTACATTTCTCATGTAAGTTTGCGTAGTTTTAACACAAACATTTATTTTTCATATTGCACCAGTACAGTTAATGAGCAACCTGTACTTGTGTGCTTGTTTGTTCTGTCTGACATGTTTATTTTGGAATAAAGAGGTTAATATAAAAAAATGTTTTGTCCGATTCATCGATTAATCGGAAAATAATCGGCCGATTCATAGATTTTTAAAATAATCGTTAGTTGCAGCCCTAATATATATATATATATATATATATATATATATATATATATATATATATATATATATATATATATATATATAAAACTGTTTTCTCACCCCTCGTGGGGTGGTATGTGTCATCCTCAAGCTCGGGTCCTCTGGGAGTTTGAGGGTTCTGCGCAGTATCTTAGCTGTTCCTAGGACTGCGCTCTTCTGGACAGAGACCTCTGATGTTTTACCTGGGATCTGCTGTAGCCACTCTCCCAGTTTGGGGGTCACAGCCCCCAGTGCTCCAATTACCACTGGCACCACTGCTGCTCTTACTTTCCACATCTTTTCTAGCTCCTCTTTCAGCCCTTGGTATTTCTCAAGCTTCTCGTGTTCTTTCTTCTTGATGTTGCTGTCGCTTGGGATTGCCACATCTATCACTACTGCCTTCTTCTGCTGTTTGTCGATCAACACGATGTCTGGTTGGTTAGCCATCACCTGTTTGTCAGTCTGGATCTTGAAGTCCCATAGGATCTTAGCTCGGTCATTCTCAACTACCTTAGGAGGTGTCTTCCATTTTGACCTTGGGACTTCCAGCCCATACTCATGGTAGATGTTCCTGTACACTATGTATGTAGAGAACTAGCAACACCATCAACAAAATCATAATCCTGTGAAGTGGAATAAGCTAAATAAAAGGGAATATCTTAGGTATGCTAATCGTGGAATTGTTGTTTCATTGTGCTACGGTCACAAAGAATGTGGTGCCTAACCCAAATGATCAAATAAATGTGTTCCAAACTGACAGAGATGCCCCACATTTAGCAGAACTTCTAGAATCATGAGATAAACTGTGATTTTCTGTCAGAAATTATTCCCATGGAAGTTTGTGGAGGAGGAAAACCTCCTGAGCCAAGATTAACCTTATCTCTTTAGCTAAATGGATCTTCTTACCCACTTCTTGGAACATTGCTGGGGCATTTCTCAAACCAAAAGGCATATGCAGATATTCATAATGACAAGAAGGAATATTAGAAGCAGTTTTCCATTCATCTCCTTTTGTGAGACTAGTCAGATTGTAAGCCTTATTAAGAACTTGTTTGGGGAGAAAATGCACCATGAATAAGATCAAAAGCAGGGTTAATGCAGGGAAAGACAGTATGGATTCTTAACAGTTGTACTGTAAAGACCCTGTAAAAAAAAATCTAGGCCTAGTAAAAGATAATGCCAGCATCAATGCATTTCCTCAGGTCTTTGTTTTCCAAAAAAGAGAGAGAATAATGCCACTCTGGGATGTGACATACCTGGAAGCAGGTGTGTCCGCAGCCATATTATCAGTGAGAAGGAAGGCTGGAGCCTGAATCGTATTAATCACCTCCTTAAAGTAATAGAATTCAGCAAGGATTTTAGACAGTTTTGTGTAGGTATAATCGACTGAGCATATTTAAGGCCAACTTATTCATTCATTAGCCTATCAGTCAAAATGTGAGCTATCTTTCTTAAGCCAGGTGGTATGTGGCTTTATTCATTGAAAACTGCATTTAATAAATGGCAGTAAACAATCTTAGGCCAGATCAGTAACATTTGAAGGGAGAAGGAACTGTTGGTGCTTGGCAGAATCTAGTGGATGAGCTATAGAAATAAAGCCACTAACCTTATTAAAATAATCACTATTGGGGATGTTGAGCTTTGGTTGCTTAATGTAGTGGTGTGGTGACAGCAGATTGAGATTATTGTAGACCTGAGATTGTAGACCGGTCGGCAGGAATATGTGGAGAAAAAAAACCTGGTCAGTGCACAGGAAGCAAAGAGGAACAGAGGGAGGCAGATTTAGACTGACAGCTCCAGGGGACTGTCAGGAGGTGTCAGTCAAGAAGTAGAAACAAGGTTGATGTCCAGAGATCAGAAGCCAGGGGAATATCTGACCTGGGAAAGCAGAATAAGGAAACCCAATAGGAAGAGACGTAATCGATATCATGCAGGCTGAAAAATAACGCTGGATATTTTCCCAGATGATGGTTTTTGATAATCTGGCACTGTTTTTCAACCAGAGACCACTCTATAAAGCAGGACAACAGTTGCAGTGAATGAGCCATGATTAGAGTGCAGGATGAGGGGTATCATTAGGCAATACTAGGCATTTACTTTGGGTCCCCAAGTTCCTAGGGGCCCCATAAAACTCTGGTTACGTGTATGGTAAATTCAACTATTCCTTATTTGTGCACAATAATAGGAATAGGCTAAGATGCCATGAGAAGATGCCATGAGAAGAAGGCTTATAATATTAAGTGTGTCCCTTCAGTGTCCACCATATTGGATCAGTCCATTTGCTGCACATGTTCAGAAAAGTCCAAACAGACAGCAGCAAACCATTTGAAAACAAACGGTGCGAAGAGCAGTGTTGCTAACTTACCGCTTTTGTCGCTATATTTAGCGACTTTTCAGACTCCTATAGCAATATTATTTTTAAAAAGCTCCTAGCGCCAAATCTAGCAACTTTGTTCTGCTACTGGAGACTTGGAGACAACATCTAAAAGCAGCAAACTCTGCTCTCCAGAGCAAGTAGATTGGTAACCCCGCCTCCTGCTCTCCTCTATCTTGTCTGCTGTCATGATTCATGCAGCTATTATTTCATGCAAATATAAAATGGAGAACAGATAAGAAGATCATGGTTTATCTACAGTAAAAAGAAGGACTTTGTTATTTACTTTTGGTGTGGCCTTTTTGGAATCACAAGAAGGAGCAAGCCAAGTGAGCTTAGTGCTTGAATAAATATTTCATTAATTCCTTTTGAGACAGCATGAAAAAAGTCAGCTGAGTAGAAAAGATAGAGAGGAAAACAACCTGCAAAGGGACAAGAAGAGAGGGACAAAACATAAAACAAATAATCTATGTCTATTCTATTAAGTTTTCTGTATCTGTATAATAGATCTGTTTTTTTATGTGTTGTCTTCTCAGTTCAGAGGGCCGCCTGCCTGTCTTGGCTTAGGGCCCCAAACTTACTAAATCTACCCCTGAGTGCATGCAAGGCAGATGCAGGTAGAAACAATGACCCAAGTTGATCCAGCAAGACAGGAGCATATTGACCTGAATAATGGAAAACAAAACTTTATTTAAACATTCTTGTGACGTGAAACTTGCTAATCAGTACCCTTTTAATAAATAGTTCCAGGATACACAGTCAGTATCTTGATTGTTGTTTTTATGTTACTCTGCAACACCTGCAAATTATTTAGCAAGTGGAAATATGATTAATATAAAAATAATGGCGGATTAGTAAGTGATGTTGGCTTGTTGTTGTTTTGGTCTGCATGTATGATCATACAGAGAGAGAGGGAAATGTTCCGTCCTTTCTGTTGCTAAGTTTTGAAGCTCCTCCTTCTTCTTCATATGAAACACAGAAAGCTCAACCTTTGAACGTCAGGGTGCTGCCTTCAATGGCTATTTAAAGCTAATCATAAAACTAGTTCCAGGTATACGGAAGTAAATCTCATAGTTGTTACTCAGAGCTAAAATGGCAGGGAGAGGAGTTAAGCTGGAAATAACAAACTTCTCTTGTGCCATCTGTTCTGATTTATTTAAGGATCCGGTGACTATTCCCTGTGGACACAGCTACTGTATGAACTGCATTACAGATCACTGGGATGTAGAGGATCAGAGGAGGATCTACAGCTGCCCTCAGTGCAGGAAAGAGTTCAGCCCGAGGCCTGTCCTGGTAAAAAACTCCAAGTTAGAAGTTTTAGTCGAAAAGTTTAAATATGCTGGAAACCTATCTGCTGATCACTGCTATGCTGGACCTCAAGATGTGGCCTGTGATGTCTGCACTGGAAGGAAATTGAGAGCTGTCAAGTCCTGTCTGGTCTGTTTGGCTTCTTATTGTGAGAACCACCTCCAACCTCATTACAGTGCTCCACCATTAAAGAGACACAATCTGGTCAACCCCTCCAAGAAGCTCCAGGAGAACATCTGCTCTCATCATGATGATGTGATGAAGATCTTCTGTCGTACTGATCAGCAGTGTATCTGAAACGGCTGCTACGGTAAACAAAAAAGCAAGCCCGAAAGCGGCTGCCACAGAAAACAGAGAAAGCAAGCCCGAAAGCGGCTGCCACAGAAAACAAAAAAGCAAGCTCGGAAACGGCTGCCGTAGTAATTAACAAGCTAGTCGGAGTCGGCTAACACCGAGGCACCAGCAACAGGGAGTCACGGTGAGAACGCGTCCCCGTTCGCCGTCGATAAGAGAAAAAAACTTACCAGACGAAGAAACCCAGCTGTATATAATGAAGAGCTTGCCCTGGTTTCTCTGAGAGGTTTCCTGCATGTGGGTCAGATCACTGAAAAAGATCATGACAGAGCTAATTGATGTGCAATTTTACTAGCAGATTATGAATATATTAACTAGAAATAGAAGTTACAGTTAAATATATTTAGTTAACCATCAATATGAAACTTACACCTCTTTGGATTCAGAATTGCTTAATTCATGAAATACTATCAGCCGAATGTGACAAAATGTGTATGTGAGTCGAAATGTTAACCCATAAATGTTGAACAGCTCTCCAACTTTTTAAATTTACCTGTGGTTTCAAACCTATGGTTTTAATTAACCACTCTATAAGTTGTTCTTTAAACTGATTATCAAAAAATACAGAAAAGGGGCAACGTAAAGGATTAAAAGAAAAGTGAAATTGTTTGTAATTCAAAGAGCCATCATGAGGGGGCAGAGGGTCTCCAGAGGGTCTCCAAATGGGGAAATGGGGAAATTAAATGTGGTTGCACTTTGCACGAGTAATTACACATGAAGGAGACCAGGTTTTTGAACCTAAGAAATCTGTGAACTACCTGCTCTGAAACGTTTTAAATGAGGCTCTTTAAAGGGAAACAATAAAGACAATAACCAGCTGCAGTTTAATAACCAGTACATAGATTTTGGTAGGTGGTAAAATTTTTAACAGTTAAATTATTTCAAACCAACTTCACTTAGCAGCTGCAATTATTAAAACAAAAAGGTTTATCAAGTAGGATTGTGTTGTAGCTAGATTTTCTTGAGTAGCAGCTTTTTGTCAAGGTGCCCTAAAAAGTCTTAAATGTGTTATTTATAAACAGTGACCTTTGTCATTTTTAGAGGCCCACCAAGGGACGCCAATAACGTTGTGCAATTTCACCAGCAGATTATTAATATCTTATTTATTGAGGTTATAGTTAGATAATATGACAATAAAATCATGGGTAAAACCAAGTAATTATCTTCAATAAAATGATTATAACTGATACATTTCACAATTACCAGGTGTTATTAACCTCTCAGCTTTATGGCTTGACGTCTTCAACCGGCTGTTTAAATTCAAGATGTCTTTATCATTAGTAAATGTTATATATGTTGCTTTATTAATTCAGCAGAGTTATTAACCCCCCAAACCCAAGATTGGCAGCAGTGACTATTGACAGCTCCAGCATCGGACTAAAAAAAGTCTATACCGAAGACAAAAAAACGGTGAAGTTAAGCAATGCCTCACTCAAAGTCTTGATCTGCTGATTAAAGAAGAAAGCAGAGTGCAGAGTTAATAAAGAAGGTGTGACCAGAACAAACACCAGAAGCTACACACTATGTGCCTTATTCATCAACTTATAAAAGGATTTTAAGGAAATTGGTACCAAAAGTGCACCTCATGCCAAGGAACAATTCATTAAAATTTGGTAATTATCCAGATCATGTGTGAGTTTTCGCTATTGGTATAAGTCACAATTAAAGTAGTAGGAAAGTCATGCTTAAATGTCAAATCATTCAGGCTTAAACATGTGCATAAATGTACTCTTTATCAGACGATATTGCCCCAAAAGTTTGAAAAAATCTGTGGGGGGGTTTTCGTTATCTTATGCAGGCCAATTAGTTATACGTCAGCTTGTACACCTAAATTCGGCCAATCATATATCAACCTACATCTGTCAATCAAATTTTTACGGTCATATCATCTTGATTCATATGTTGCAGCTAATATACCCAACGGTTGAAATAAGAATCCTTTCCCATCGAGTTCCATCCCAGTGTTCACGGGGATGGACGTCTGTGTCTTGGGCAGGCGTAGAGCTAACAGAACTGGAAGCGTTGCGAGGCAAGGGCTCAAACATGTACGGCTGTAAGCCTTCTAGACCAAACCAAGCTTCTGCCGCCCTGGCGTCCTCTTCCACAACATCTTCATCCCCGCTTTCCTTCTCTAAATAAAAAATGTATGACGGAGGAGACTCATCCACGACCTCTGACACAAAACTCTCCTCCTCTTGCATGTTTCCTCTGTCCATAGCGTTCCTTGACAGTGTCGATGCTAAGTCACCAATTTAGTGCTACTCGGTCCCAATGGAATTTCTCATTGGGAACCTACTAGCACTAAGTTGCTAACTGGTTAGCGAGATGCTTCCGACAAACCAGCCACTACCAAACTTGCTTGCAAACCTTCCGCCACAACAACAACAATCCCACCCCCATTATAAACGCCCTCACTTTATTCACTCATGTAAAGTCCGGCACCACTCGGGAGAATTCGGAAATGCAACAGTTGGAACAACTGTTTCCCTACGACTTAAAAGGACACAGGTTCGAGTGCCTTTTCTAGTTATTGTTATTGTTTAAACAAATAAAACTGAGTTTAAGAGTGAGTTATGTCTGTCAAAGTGAGCATGGGGGGAAAAAATTGTTTAAAGCTCTAGTAGAAAAGTTTAAAAATACTGGACATCAACTTATGCCAGCTGATCACTGCTATGCTGGACCTGAAAATGTGTCCTGTGATCTCTGCACTGTGAGTAAAAGGAAAGCTGTAAAGTCATGTCCGGTCTGTGTGGCTTCTTATTGTGAGAATCACCTCCAACCTCATTATGATGCTCCACCTTTAAAGGAACATAATCTTGTGAAACCCCAGCCCCAGGAAAACATCATTATGATGTCTCTACTTTAAAGAAACGCTGGCTGGTGAATCCCTCTGAGAAGCTCCAGGAGACCATCTGCTCTCATCACAATGAGGTGATCTGATCTGATCAACAGTGTATCTGTTATCTCTGCACTATGGATGAACATAAAGGCGGTGAATCAGTCTCAGATGCATCAGAAAGCACTGAGAAGGGGCTGCTGCTCAAAGCATTCCTGTTTTATGTCCATCCAGTATACACACAGACGCCTGCTCCACCTCTTGAGTGTAACCCATGTTTTATCCTTATGCATGGCAAGCTTTTAGCTCTGTGCTCTGTTCATGAGGGCTTGGTTCATCTCATCCAACCTCAGCTTTTGCTGAACATCTTTATACCATTGTGTTGTGGTCGTAAAAAACATCCAGAGCCATGCTTTTAGTGAGATGAAACTATTGATGATGGTATGTGTTTTACAGTTATTACATTAACAGGATAAACAAACAACCCCAGCTGATTATCTAATAACCCTTTGTTATATCATGCCTCCTCCCTCTCATCTGCTGACCAGCAGTTGCTGCTATAGGGATGGAGCCATCGTGGATGTGAGGAGTACTGGTTTAAGAGAGGAGTAAAGGAGGCCATTTTAGTTTAGAAGAAACCATATATTATTGAATAGTAATGGAGAACTTAGGGTCATTGTTTTAAAAAGCTGTCATTGCTAGCATGACTCACTCTTCTAAAACTGTGCTTCCTAAGCGCTGTGTTATTATATGGTTGATGTTTGAAGACCCCAGGAAGAGTAAGAGGATGCAAATAAACATAATAACAATCAATCAGCTTTTATTTTCAGCAATAACTGGTCGATTAACTCAAAATGGAATATGTCAGGATGAGGTGTATTTAGGCTGCACCTGCTGACACAGTGATGACCTATCTTTGCCAGCCCGTCACACTAGATCAGGGGTCACCAATTCAAAATCAGCAGGGTCCGAATAAAGAAAATCAACAACCAGTAAAGGTCCGGAGACATTTTAAATTATAATCTGTTATTTTTTATTTGTTATTTGAGTTTTTACAGTTCTAGTGGTTCGTTTTTTCACAGTAGGCTGACAGGAAAGCACGGGTCGCCCACGTCGAGGACTAAGGCCTCCGTACATGGGTCATGCACACTAACCACTGCGCCACCTGCACGCCCATAATCCGTTACTTTAAACAGCATGTTTTTTTTGTGTCACGTGTTGCCTGGTCCCGGATGCTCTGGAAGGCTTTACCATACAAACAAGAGAAGTTAGACACTGGCATGGAACAACATGCAGTAATTTATAAATGTTTAGATCAGGTTGGGTCCGGATTAGCCAGCAAGTGGGTCTGGATCCGGACCAAGGTCTGCTAATCCATGACCTCTGCAGTAGAGTGTTCTCCATATTAAAGCAGAGTCATTCACACAGTACAAACACTTGTTGGCTGAGACTTAAAAGTAGACAAGGTGTCTGCCTCATGGACTAAAATTGGTGGTTATTTCCACAGGAGAGAAGCCTCATAACTAGACACTTGGTCTGCTCCCAGCTCCTATCCCTTCATCTTTTAAGGCCTCAAAAGTAAGAAATGTATTTGGGGTAGGAAAGGAGTTCCTGATTGCTGTGCTAAATTCAACCTTCAGCCTTACAGTCGTCATCATGTGGCAAACATGGATGAGAATTGGGACGACAGCCTTATGGAAAACAACTACAAAAAAACTAAGGTTACTAATATGTAGTGAATGGATGAAGCTCTCTGTTTTAAAACCCAGGACAGATGAAAGTGAGGACATTTATTTCTCACACAGAGTGCACTTGACAAAATTATGTATTTTTGTTCAACTGTGAGAGTTGGGCTCTACCTATAAAGTCTGTCACACAAAGGATTGTGGGCAACTATAATTACAGGGAGCGGTTAGGGGCATCAGAAGGTCCCTGGGCTGAATTAGTTGATACTAGAAAGCATAGAAATCTTCCTGGTCCTGGCTCTGTCCCTAACTGTCAGCACTTATTTTGGCACTTATTATGACACTTGAGGTATTCACAATGATTTAATCAGTGCCAAGTG